CGCTGGTGAGCTGCACTCTGCTGAAGTCCCCTAAATTGATAAAAACAGAGTCTGTGTGTTTGAGCTCTGTGCTGGTGATCTGATCTGCGAGAGTGCGCAGCGTCTTGTGCAAACATGCCTGGGGTGGAATGACCGGCGAGAATGACAGAGGAAAATTACCACTGACAGTAAAAAGGTTTACAGTTAAAAAGTGATTCCAGGTTAGGACTGCACGTTTTTGTTAACACTGACTTCAGTACACCAGCCTTGGTTCATATAAAAGCAGATTCCACTGCCTTTTTTCTTGCCTGAGAGCTCTGTGGAGCGGTCTGCTCTGTAGAGGTTAAAGCCGTGGAGCTGGAGCGTGCTGTCTGGGGTAGACTCAGTGAGCCAAGACTCAAGCGCAGAGAGAGAAAAGTCCTTATTAGTTCTGTTTGGAAGGGAAAGTTTGTCTAATTTATTGGCTCAAGAGCAAAGATTTGCCATGTAAATGCTGGGGAGCTTAACCAGTTTAACCAGCGCTCCAGCATGCTTCACCCACCTGCGTGTCTGTCTGTGTCTGCTGTAGATAGCAGCCGCTACAGTCGCTAAAATGTTCAAAAAACAGTCCGAATGAGAAAAGTCAGAAGAGCACCTTCAATATTTGTGTGTTATTTTCCTACCAGTACCTCTTTGTATGTTTACACGTTTCAAGAAAAAAGATGCTTGAATCTAAATTGAAGCTAAATTGTCTGTCAATATGGTAAGAAAATTTTACTCAGTTTTTTTAAAAAAAAGAAAACATCTTATGGTGTAAATGATCTTAATATCTTAAAATGTGGAATATTTTTAGCTTGTAAAGCTCAACGTCTGTCCAGTTAAATTTTTAAAATAAGTAAAGCTGTCATGAAATTTCTTCTTTCATTTCGGAGAGCTTCAAAACTTCTTTGTTCTCTCAAAGAACCTTTTTATTTAATTTAAAAAGTAGGTATAATTAGATAATTTGTCTAAACATGATAAATGTAGACAACATCTCAAAGCTTTCTGATTAATCTTACACAACCCCATTTCCAAAAAAGTTGGGACTAAATAAAAACAAAATGCAATGATGTGCAAATAATTTAAACCCTGTATTTCATTGAAAATAGTACAAAGACAGCATATCAAATGTTGAAACTGAGAAATTTTATTGTTATTCAAAAATATTTGCTCATTTTGAATTTGATGCCAACAGCACGTTCCAAAAACGTTGGGACGGGGGCAAAAAAAGGCTGGTAAAATTGTGTAATGCTAAAAAAACACCTGGTGGTTATTTGGAAACAGGTCAGTATAAAAAGAGCATCCCAGAGAGGATGAGTCTTTCAGAAATAAAGATGGGGAGGGGTTCACCACTCTGTGAAAGACGTTTCTCAACTTAAAGTAGCAAAGAACTTTTGTTTTTCATCATATTATATGCTGAGATTCTATTATAACATTAAAAGATTCAGATAATCTGAAAAAATCTCTGTATGCAAGGGCCGAAAACCCGTATTTGCTGGCCATGATCTTTGGGCCCTCTGGCAGCACTGAATTAAATACAGACATGATTCTCTAGTGGAAATCATTGTATGGGCCCAGAAACACTTCTGAAAATCATTGTCTGTGAACACAGTTCATCATTGCATCCACAAATGCAAGTTAAAACTCTAAAATGCAAAGAAGAAACTACATATAAACAGGATCCAGAAATGCTGCCACCTTCTCTGGGCCCAAACTCATTTAAAATGGACTGAGGCGAAGTGGAAAATTGTCCTGTGGTCCGACAAATCAACATTCGAAATTCTTTTTGGAAATCATGGACACTGTGTCCTCTCAGCTAAAGACCACTCAGCTTGTTATCAGTGCACAGTTGAAAAGCCAGTATTTATGATGGCATAGGGGTGCATTAGTCCACATGGCATGGGTGACGTGCACATCTGTGAAGGCACCATTATTGCTGAATGATATATACATGTTTTGGCAACATATGCATCTTTTTCATGGAAGGCCCTGCGTATTTCAGTAAGACAATGCCAAACCACATTCTGCATGTATGACAACAGCATTGCTCTGTATTAAACGAGTCCAGGTTCTAAACTGACCTGCCTGCAGTCCAGACCTGTCACCCACTGAAAACATTTGGCACATTATGAAATGAAAAATACGACGAAGGAGATCCTGAACTGTTGAGCGGTTGCATTGTGGAAGTTATTGTTTTCAGAAATACAGTTCAGGGAGACCTCAGTGGAAATATTTACACTGTGGCCAAAAGTAAGTCGACTCCCCTTTTTATTATTGAGTTCAGGTGTTTCAGCCAAACCTAACCTGCTAACAGGTGTAAAAAATCAAGCACACAGCCTTGCAGTCTCCATTGACAAACACTGGCAGTAGAATGAGTCACACTGAAAAGCTCAGTGACGTTAAATGTGCAACTGTCGGCCGACACCTTTGAAGCAAGTCAGTTCATGAAATTTCTGCTCAGTCCACTGTGAGTGCTACTTTAGTGAAATGGAGGCATCTAGGATCAGGAACAGCTCAGCTGTGACGCAGTAGACCAGACAAACAGTTTCAGACTGCCTGTGGAAGCAACATCAGCACAAGAACTGTGTAACAAGCGCTTTATGAATGGGTTTTCATGACCGAACTGCAGCACACAAAAGTAAGATTGCAGTGCCAAGTGTTGGCTGGAGTGGTGCAAAGCACACCGGCGTTGAACACTGGTGCAGTGTAAACGTGTTCTCTGGAGTGATATGTCACGCTTCACTATCTGACAGTCTGATGACATGAACAAGCTCATGTGGGTGTGATGGTCACATACTTTTGACCACATAGTGTATGTGAATTTATTTGAATTTTATTTGTGGGGCGATTTGAACAATTGTTTTAGGAAGACTATATATTTGGATTGTGTAAGTCAGAAAGGGCTTATTGGAAATATTTTGGGAGCACTCCACTTATCATTGGGGTTAAAGGATTCCAGAGAGTTAGAGAGGTTTAGTACTGTTTAGTATTGATTAGCCTCTCTTGGTTTGAAGATGTTCTAGAAAAGCTGTTAATAAAGCTTTTCAGACAATATGGCAAAACATTTGAAGCTTTCCTCTACTTGTAAATATTGATCCAAATTGTTCAAATTATTTACGCAAAATGAAAGAATCTCTTTGATCCCATTTAAAGTATCAGAACTCAGGTTTCACACCTGCCCACATGCCACGTTGGATCATTTTTATCAGGGAATGTTTATATATGCAGTGAAAACTGACAGCCCAAGTGAAAGCACAATGCATTCTATCTGACTTGGATATTATATATTTCTGTGTGACCATGTGAATTCACTACAAACACTACATTCCCCATAGTGCCCCAGTATCTCTCTATTGAATGCTTTCTGTTTCCATGACATCTGTATAGCAACTGTTTTTACTACAGAGCTAGTAGTAGGTGGACATGGATATAATCAAGTATTTGACAGCATAAGTGCACAAACAGTTGTCTATCTTTATTTAACAGCAAGTCAACCACCAAGCAGCCAGAGTACCAGAGAATCAGAACAGGGAGAGACTGAAAGGAGAATCAGAACAGGGAGAGTGAGAAAGGAGAATCAGAACAGAGAGAGAGTGAAAGGAGAATCAGAACAGAGAGAGAGTGAAAGGAGAATCAGAACAGAGAGAGAGTGAAAGGAGAATCAGAACAGAGAGAGAGAGAAAGGAGAATCAGAACAGAGAGAGAGAGAAAGGAGAATCAGAACAGAGAGAGAGAGAAAGGAGAATCAGAACAGGGAGAGAGTGAAAGGAGAATCAGAACAGGGAGAGAGTGAAAGGAGAATCAGAACAGGGAGAGAGAAAGGAGAATCAGAACAGGGAGAGAGAGTGAAAGGAGAATCAGAACAGAGAGAGAGAGTGAAAGGAGAATCAGAACAGAGAGAGAGAGTGAAAGGAGAATCAGAACAGAGAGAGAGTGAAAGGAGAATCAGAACAGAGAGAGAGTGAAGGAGAATCAGAGCAGAGAGAGAGAGTGAAAGGAGAATCAGAACAGGGAGAGAGTGACAGGAGAATCAGAACAGAGAGAGAGAGTGAAAGGAGAATCAGAACAGGGAGAGAGTGAAAGGAGAATCAGAACAGAGAGAGAGAGTGAAAGGAGAATCAGAACAGGGAGAGAGTGAAAGGAGAATCAGAACAGGGAGAGAGAGTGAAAGGAGAATCAGAACAGAGAGAGAGAGTGAAAGGAGAATCAGAACAGGGAGAGAGTGACAGGAGAATCAGAACAGAGAGAGAGAGTGAAAGGAGAATCAGAACAGAGAGAGAGAGTGAAAGGAGAATCAGAACAGAGAGAGAGTGAAAGGAGAATCAGAACAGAGAGAGAGTGAAAGGAGAATCAGAACAGAGAGAGAGAGTGAAAGGAGAATCAGAACAGAGAGGAGAGTGAAAGGAGAACCAGAACAGAGAGAAAGAGTGAAAGGAGAACCAGAACAGAGAGTGAAAGGAGAATCAAAACAGAGAGAGAGTGAAAGGAGAATCAGAACAGAGAGAGAGTGTGAAAGGAGAATCAGAACAGGGAGAGAGTGAAAGGAGAATCAGAACAGAGAGAGAGAGTGAAAGGAGAATCAGAACAGAGAGAAAGTGAAAGGAGAATCAGAACAGAGAGAGAGTGTGAAAGGAGAATCAGAACAGAGAGAAAGTGAAAGGAGAATCAGAACAGAGAGAGAGTGTGAAAGGAGAATCAGAACAGAGAGAAAGTGAAAGGAGAATCAGAACAGAGAGAGAGTGTGAAAGGAGAATCAGAACAGAGAGAAAGTGAAAGGAGAATCAGAACAGAGAGAGAGTGAAAGGAGAATCAGAACAGAGAGGAGAGGGAGGAGAATTAGAATGTATTTATATGAGAGGTGTAAAAATATCTGCTACAGTAGCTTCAGAATTTTAGTGTTTCAGCAGCAGAACTGAGATAGAGCTACCGGCGAGACTTCTACTGAGCTGTTTGATTTTCTCTCGTTTTTGTTTGTGTTTCTGAATCATTTTCTGTTTCTACAGGTTCAGATCACCACAGAGTGAGAGTGATGAGTGGAGAAAGAGAGTGAATTCATTTCTGCTGGATCTGTGTCTGCAAGCAGCTCTTCATCAGAAAGACAACATTCAGACAGCTGTAGAAGAACTGATGTCATGTGCGTGTGGTGGAAAAGAAGATTTTCTACTGGATCTGTTCTCACATGTGAAGAACTATGAGACTCAGACAGGCAGGACTGTTCTTCCAGCATTACAGCCAGTTTACCAGTCAGCTCCTGCAGAGTGGATCATAAACCTCTCAGAGAGAAAGAGCTCCCTCTTCCTAGAAGTGCTGAAACTCCAAACAGTGAAGAAACCAGTAAAGCTGAGAGGCTGGTCAGATGAAGAGAGTGAAGTGAGGAGTTTCCTTCAGTGTCTGCCCTACATCTCCCAGCTGAGGTGAGTGTGAAGTCTTAAAGAAATACCTGTAATCTCTCTGTCTGAGTGTGATGGTTAATTGTAATATGTGTCAAAGAGAATGACTGATGTAGTCCTCTAAAAAGGCCAAAATGTTGTAATCTAGCTTTTGGCAGCATATTTACATGCAAAAGGCAGCGCATTAGGTAAAAAGTTAAAGATTTCAGGAGTCATGCCATTTGGGGGGGCCACAAGAGCTGAGTATTACACACAACAGCCTGCCCACCCCTCTCCCCCAAAAGTTTAGGCATGCCCAAATCGGAAACTGAGCCAAAGTAGATCAGAATGTGTACCCCAACACTTCCTGCATTAAATATGCTGTCAGCTGCATTACAATTTAGCCTCAAAGCACGAGACAGCCAAATGAGATAAAGTATTAAAAAATAAAGGTTACAGTAGTAAGATATTCGCATATAGATTCAAATAACATCCTATAATAGCATGTGATTTTCATTCTTAAAAACCATTTCCAAAACACCTTTAATTTTAAAACATTCAAGGATAATTATGCCAAAAATAGAAAGTAACATTTCAACATTTAAATGATTTCTCTGCATGTGCTTTCCTCCATTACACACCCTTAACACTGTATGCTTGCTAATGCTACAACATGACATTTGGAGCATAACAACAACACATAGCAGGACAGAATCACCCCTCAAAAAAGATAAACATTCTGGAGTAACAGAAAATGTAAATGTAGTATTTTTTAATATACTGTTTTACTGTTTATGTACATTGTATTGTTAAATACCTACTGTAAAATACTGGGCCCGGGTTTGATTCCTGGCTGGGTGACCAGGGTCCTCTCTTTGTGGAGTTTGCATGTTCTCCCCGTGTCTGTGTGGGTTTCCTCCGGGTGCTCCGGTTTCCTCCACAGTCCAAAGACATGCAGTCAGGCCAGTTGGACACACTAAATTGGCCCTAGGTGTGAGTGTGTGTGTGAATGTATATGTCTGTCTGTCTGCCCTGTGACGGACTGATGACCTGTCCAGGGTGTTTCCTACCATCCTCCTGATGACTGCTGGGATAGGCTCCAGCTCCCTCCGTGACCCAGAAGGGTGAGCGGCTTAGAAAATGTGTGTGTGTGTGTGTGTGTGTGTGTGTGTGTGTGTGTGTGTGTGTGTGTGTGTGTGTGTGTGTTTGTGTATGTATTTGTTAAATACTTCTTCAAAAATACACTGAAAAAATTGTCAGTTAAACCTCAGATGAATATAATGAATGACACAGTGCAAAGTAAAATAATTATTTAGATAAACAAACATAACATTTATAATTCAAACCTCAAACATTTCAAATCAACTTCTACCCTGTTCAGTTTTTTTAAACTAAACCCAGTTAATATTTTAGCCTAGTTCTGTTATTTTGGAAGAAGTTAAGCTCAGAGGCGACGTGGAAAAGTGTCCTGTGGTCCGACAAATCAACATCTGAAATTCTTTTTGGAAATCATGGACACTGTGTCCTCTGGGCTAAAGACCACTCAGCTTGTTATCAGTGCACAGTTGAAAAGCCAGTATTTATGATGGCATAGTGCATTAGTGCACATGGCATGGGTGACGTGCACATCTGTGAAGGCACCATTAATGCTAAATGACATATACAAGTTTTGGCAACATATGCTGCCATCCAGATGACACCTTTTTCAAGGAAGGCCCTGCTTATTTCAGTAAGACCACATTCTGCATGTATTACAACAGCATTGCTCCGTATTAAAAGAGACTGGGTTTTAAACGGACCTGCCTGCGGTCCAGACCTGTCACCCACTGAAAACATTTGGCACATGATGGAATGAAAAATACGACGAAGGACATCCCGAACTGTTGAGCGGTTGCATTGTGGAAGTTACTGTTTTCAGAAATACAGCTCAGGGAGACCTCAGTGGAAATATTTACACTGTGTGGCCAAAAGTAAGTCGACACCCCTTTTTATTATTGAATTCAGGTGTTTCAGCCAAACCTAACCTGCTAACAGGTGTAAAAAATCAAGCACACAGCCTTGCGGTCTCCATCGACAAACACTAGCAGTAGAATAAGTCACACTGAAAAGCTCAGTGACGTTAAACGTCTGTCATAGGCCGACACCTTTGAAACAAGTCAGTTCATGAAATTTCTGCCCTGCTGGATCTGTCTCAGTCAACTGTGAGTGCTACTTTAGTGAAATGGAGGCATCTAGGATCAGCAACAGCTCAGCTGTGACGCAGTAGACCAGACAAACAGTTTCAGACTGCCTGTGGAAGCAACATCAGCACAAGAACTGTGCAACAAGCGCTTTATGAATGGGTTTTCATGACCGAACTGCAGCACACAAAAGTAAGATTGCAGTGCCAAGTGTTGGCTGGAGTGGTGCAAAGCACACTGCTGTTGAACACTGGTGCAGTGTAAACGTGTTCTCTGGAGTGATATGTCACGCTTCACTATCTGGCAGTCTGATGACATGAACAAGCTCATGTGGGTGTGATGGTGACATACTTTTGACCATATAGTGTATGTGAATTTATTGGAATTTTATTTGTGGGGCGATTTGAACAGTTGTTTTAGGAAGACTATATATTTGGATTGTGTAAGTCAGAAAAATCCCTTTGTTCTATTTTGAAAGAATAGTGATCACTGTAGTGATTACTTAAGGTCTATTTAGTGATATCAGGCCTGCCCAGATAGCAAGGCGTCCATTCTGGAGCATCTTCATTTAAATATTTCTCTGAGGGCTTATTGGAAATATTTTGGGATCACTCCACTTATCATTGGGGTTAAAGGATTCCAGAGAGTTAGAGAGGTTTAGTACTGTTTAGTATTGATTAGCCTCTCTTGGTTTGAAGATGTTCTAGAAAAGCTGTTAATAAAGCTTTTCAGACAATATGGCAAAACATTTGAAGCTTTCCTCTACCTGTAAATATTGATCCAAATTGTTCAAATCATTCAAGCAAAATGAAAGAATCTCTTTGATCCGATTTAAAGTATCAGAACTCAGGTTTCACACCTGCCCACATGCCACGTTGGATCATTTTTATCAAGGAATGTTTATATATGCAGTGAAAACTGACAGCTGAAGTCAAAGCACAATGCATTCTATCTGACTTGGATATTATATATTTCTATGTGACCATGTGAATTCACTACAAACACTACATTCCCCATAGTGCCCCAGTATCTCTCTATTGAATGCTTTCTGTTTTCATGAAGTCTGTATAGAACCGGTTTTCACCACAGAGCTAGTAGTAGGTGGACATGGACATAATCAAGTATTTGACAGCATAAGTGTACAAACAGTTGTCTATCTTCATTTAACAGCAAGTCAACCACCAAGCAGCCAGAGTACCAGAGAATCAGAACAGGGAGAGACTGAAAGGAGAACCAGAACAGGGAGAGAGTGAAAGGAGAATCAGAATAGAGAGAGAGAGTGAAAGGAGAATCAGGACAGAGAGGAGAGGAAAGGAGACTCAGAACAGAGAGAGAGTGAAAGGAGAATCAGAGCAGAGAGTGAGAGTGAAGGGAGAATCAGAACAGAGAGAGAGAGTGAAAAGAGAATCACAACAGTGAGGAGAGGAAAGGAGAATCAGAACAGAGAGAGAGTGAAAGGAGAATCAGACAGAGGAGAACCAGAACAGAGAGAAAGAGTGAAAGGAGAATCAGAACAGAGAGAGAGAGAAAGGAGAATCAGAACAGAGAGAGAGTGAAAGGAGAATCAGAACAGAGAGAGAGTGAAAGGAGAATCAGAACAGAGAGAGAGAGTGAAAAGAGAATCACAACAGTGAGGAGAGGAAAGGAGAATCAGAACAGAGAGAGAGTGAAAGGAGAATCAGAACAGAGAGAGAGAGTGAAAAGAGAATCACAACAGTGAGGAGAGGAAAGGAGAATCAGAACAGAGAGAAAGAGTGAAAGGAGAATCGGAACAGAGAAAGAGTGAAAGGAGAATCAGAACAGAGAGAGAGAGAGAGAAGAGAATCAGAACGGTGAGGAAAAGAGTAAAGACAATTATAACAGGAAGAAGGAATAAAAAGAGAGTCAAAACTGGCAGAGAGAGTGAAAGGAAATCCAGAACATGGAGAAGGAGTGAACGGTTAACTGTTATTCTGAATGGTGGGGTTAGGTATGACCAGGGTTGTGTGTTATTGCTGCAAGTGTCAGAGGGCAAGGTGAGAGCTAGAGGGAGAGAGCTAACAGTAAAAGCCAGGAGCTGACCTAGGACTCTGTTTTCCTTCCTGTATTCTGTTTGCTGTGCAGAGTTCTAAGTAAAGCTGTGTTATGGACAACGTCCTCCATTACATTTTATTAGAGATTCAAATATTTTCTGACCTCTTACAGAGACAGCAGTGAGCTGTGAGGAGGACTTGAGGAGCAGGACATGTGAGAGAATTCACTCCTGGTGTATCTGTCGCATTTTCTGGCGCTTTACTATACATCATTATATGTTCAACATTATTACTGCCCAGGTCACAGGCTGATGACTTTCATTGATAGTTTAACGTTGATACAACACAGTGTTGAAATTTCATCTTGACCAAAATGATGATTATGATAAAAAATTAACAATGAATCAATGTGTTCCTGCTAACTGGGTACAGTTTGTGTCTGAGCTTCTGGCCAATGAGGATTAAGCTCTATCGTCATCAAGCTGCCTCTCAGCTCATATTTCATACTTTAAGGGGCAGTAGGCAGAAGGTCGCCAGTTTCGATCCCCAGAGCTGACAGCACGTGACTGAGGTGCCCTTGAGCAACTGCTCCTCGGGCGCTGCGGATAGGGCTGCCCACCCAACTGCTCCCCAGGCGCTGTGGATAGGGCTGCCCACCACTCCGGGCAAGTGTGCTCACTGCCCCCTCGTGTGTGTGCTCACTAGTGTATATGTGGTGTTTCACTGCATGGATGGGTTAAATGCGGAGGTGAAATTTCCCCATTGTGGGACTAATAAGGGTCTCTAAATCTTAAATTGATGAATGTTGTTTTTTGATTGTGATTTTTCAAATAAAAAAATTAGGCAGAATTTTGTTCAGCCTCGTCAGCAAACATCTCTGTGACCTTACAGCGGCCACCTTAGCTCTTGATTGATTAGTCCTATCTAGTTTAATTTGACATTCAAAAAGAGTTTCTGTTTCTTTTATTATAACAGATTATTAATGTGTTTTGTGGACAAATAAGTAATACTGGAAATTATTTTCTCTTTTTCAGTTCTCCTTATTTCAGTTAGTTTACTGCAGAATGTTTAAAAAATATTTTCCAGTTTCAAATTTAAAGAGTTCCCAGGTTTTTCCATGCTTCCTGATTTAGTTTCATTCCAGTAGAACTGTATCAAGATGTGGCTTTATGTTTTAATACAGAGCTATCCAGTTTCCAGTATGAATTATGCAAATATGCAAAGGTAGAATGATGTAGCACAATATTAATTTGTATTGCTCTATGATCTGTCAGCAGGTGGTTAAATTAGCCACACTTAACTGGTCTTTAAGATGAAACCAACCACAGATCTTCTTGAGACGGTTTAGATCTCGACCTTTTACACCATATAAAATCTGCTAAGAAGGTTATAACTATAAAGAAACATCTTGTTTCCTGAAATTTCCATGTTTCCAAAAATACCCATAAATATCAGAGTGAGTTTTAATCACTTAGTGCATTAATACAGGAGTCAGTTGGTGTGTGTGGCCATATCCAGGTCCAGTCTCAGGCAATGCACCACCAACCTATTGTTAGTAATTCATATATAAGTGGGGTGATATTGTATTTCTGCAAAACATTGAGCTGTGAGAAATTGTACAGGTGTTTATGCCTCTGCTTGAAGTCATGGAGATACTCTTACTTGTGATAATACTTGGTCCAAGGTGGCAGTAGTGCAAGCATGTTTGTAGATCAAAGTAGGATCAAAAATTCTGCTGCAGTGTCAGACTGTTGTGCCACTCCATACACGTTCTCACAGTCACCATAATTTCTGACCAGTAAAGTAGCATGTGGGCACAAACGGGTATGCGTCCATCCAAATGATCTTTATGCCAGCATTAGAGTGCTGTAGTGCAGTTGTACTGGCAGGATGTAGAGACCTTATGCTGTGTTAACGTTTCCTGTAGATGGACAACAGCAAACAGGATATTACATTGTTTTCAGTGGAGCCACAACAGAAAATTCTGTCACCGCAAGCAGCAACATTCCGCAGACTGCTTTGGTGAGTGGAACAATCCAGCAAGAGTTCAATTTTCCCAACTTTGGCCATCGACCACAGCAGTGGAATAAACCAGATGTTAATTTTTTCCACCGTAAATAAACAGTGTACATTGCTAAAGCTCTCCTGTAATTATCGTCCATTTTCACTGGCTCAGTGACCATGGCAACGTTTACATGGCTTAATTGGAGCTGCACACCATTGTGAGGTGCAGAATGACTTTTCTTTTCCAAAGCAATTATGTGAATGCAGTGTTGGTGTTTTCCAGACAGGTTGTTGTGCTTCTGGTCATGTCTCTCTTTCATTGTGCCCTTGAGGAACAACCATTTTATATTGGATGTCATTAAAACACATAATACACAGGAACATTACATAAATGGATTGTTCAACACAAAAATAAAGCAGTTGGCTTTAATTTGACTTTTTGTTTTTACAACCCGTGCGTTGCTGCCATCAAGTTCTAAATGAGTTAATATTTTTCATTAAATGGTAAAATGTCTCACTTTCAACATCTGATATGTGTTCTATGTTCTGTAGTGAATAAAATATGAGTTATGAAATTTGCAAATCATTGCATTCTATTTTTATTTACATTTATTTACATTTTACACAGCATCCCAGCTTTTTGGAATTGGGGTTGTAATTTAACATTATATTCAGTAGTCGTTACAATTTTTGAGACAGTTTGTTTACTCCAGTTGGAGTGAGGAAATTTCTCATTTCTCTCGTTTCCTAACTCTGCAGATTCAGAACTCTACAGGGTGAGAGTGCTGAGTGGAGAAAGAGAGTGAATTCATTCCTGCTGGATCTGTGTTTGCAAGCAGCTCTATATCAGAAAGAGAACATTCAGACAACTGTAGAAGAACTGATGTCATGTTCATATGGTGACAAAGAAGAGTTCCTGCTGGATCTGTTCTCACATGTGAAGAACTATGAGACTCAGACAGGCAGGAGTGTTCTTCCAGCATTACAGCCAGTTTACCAGTCAGCTCCTGCAGTCTGGATCATAAACCTCTCAGAGAGAAAGAGCTCCCTCTTCCTAGAAGTGCTGAAACTCCAAACAGTGAAGAAACCAGTAAAGCTGAGAGGCTGGTCAGATGAAGAGAGTGAAGTGAGGAGTTTCCTTCAGTGTCTGCCGTACATCTCCCAGCTGAGGTGCGTTTTAATCATTTATAATATCTGTAAAAGAACATTTAAGTTTTCATGATGCAAGGCAATATATAAAAAGGTTTTTGTCAGTTTTGCCAGATTTGAAACGTAGTGCCAGATCCACTGTGACGAGAAAAGTAAATAGCATGTTGGCAACGTTTGCTCGTCCATAAACGAGGATTACCAGCATATTTCGCAGAACTGCTAACGCTGCACACTATTCACCACTAGAATGACTTTGAATGACTTTGAATGAATAGCTCTTATTTACTATGACACAAATTTTGCGTGACGGTGTGCTGTTATCACTGACTTATGAATCTGTCCCAGTGTATTTTATATTCAGTGTCTCACAGTAAACTCACTGTTAATGTGCTGTATAACATGTATCTACAGGGTTCTACGCTAAAGTATTTGCCACTTTTGCTTCTCATTTGAAATGAACACAAGTACAGAGAAAAATCTATGAGTACAAACTTAATATAAACATTTTTATTCCCTCTTTTTTCTTTATTCCTCCTGTCAGTCAGAGAGGAAGTCAGATTTTTTCTGCATTGTCCAAGCCCTTAATGATGACCTGAACAGCATTAGGAATAATATTCAGTCATTAATTATTTATGATGTTCTTTTCTTGCAGTTTTTTCATCTAAGTTCCTGTCTTTGGAACACAAAGTGTGTATTTGTAGCAGCAGTTCTTTTCAGTTTTAATTTAAAAAGTTAAGGCAATTTTTTGTTCATTGGAATCTCGATTAAGACCTGCTGAAAATTATAACCCCATTTCCAAAAAAGTTGGGACGCTGTGCAAAATGTAAATAAAAACAAAATGCGATGATGTGCAAATCATTTAAACCCTATATTTCATTGAAAATAGTACAAAGACAACATATCAAATGTTGAAACTGAGAAATGCTATTGTTTTTAGAGGGAATATCCCCATTTTGAATTTATTGCCAACAACACATTCCAAAAAAGTTGGGACGGGGGCAACAAAAGGCTGGTAAAGTTGTGTATTTCTACCTGGTGATTAATTGGCGACAGGTCAGTAAGATGATTGAGTATAAAAAGAGCATCCCAGAGAGGGCGAGTCTTTTAGAAGTAAAGATGAGGAGGGTTCACCACTCTGTGAAAGACTGTGCAAGCAAATAGTGCTACAATTCAAGAATAACTTTCTCAACATAAAATAGCAAAGAACTTTTCTTTTCATCATCTATAGTACATATCATTAAAAGATTCAGAGAATCTGGAGAAATCTCTGTATGCAAGGGACAAGGCCAAAAACCAGCATTTGCTGGCCGTGATCTTTGGGCCCTCAGACGACACTGCATTAAAAACGGACATGATTCTGTTGTAGAAATCACTGCATGGGCTCAGGAACAATTCTCAAAACTACTGTCTGTTGCTGCATCCACAAATGCAAGTTAAAACTCTAAAATGCAAAGCAGAAACCAAACATAAACAGGATTCAGAAATGCTGCCACCTTCTCTGGGCCTGAGCTCATTTAAAATGGATTGAGGTGAAGTGGAAAAGTGTCCTGTGGTCTGACAAATCAACATTTGAAATTCTTTTTGGAAATCATGGACACTGTGTCCTTCAGGCTAAAGACCCCTCAGCTTGTTATCAGTGAACAGTTCAAAAGCCAGTATTCATGATGGTATAGGGGTGCATTAGTGCACATAGCGTGCACATCTGTGAAGGCACCCTTAATGCTGAACGATATATACATGTTTTGGCAACATATGCTGCCATCCAGACGACAGCCTTGATTATTTCAGCAATACAATGTCAAACCACATTCTGCATGTATTACAACAGCATTGCTCTGTATTAAAAGAGTCCAGGTGCTAAACTGACCTGCATGTAGTCCAGACCTGTCACCCACTGATAACATTTTGCGCATTATGAAATGAAAAATACAACAAAGGAGACTCTGAACTGTTAAGCAGCTGAAATCCTGTATCAAACAAGAATGAGAAAACATTTCACTTTCAAATCTACAGCAGTGTCTCCTCAGTTTCCAAACACTTACAGAGTGATGTTAAAAGAAGAGGTGATGAAACACAGTGGTAAACAGGCCCCCGTCCCAACCTTTTTGGAATGTGTTGTTGGCATCAAATTCAAAATGGGCATATATTTTTCAAAAAACAATACATTTTCTCAGATTCAACATTTGATATGTTGACTGTAGTATTTTTTTCTTTAAAAATATGGTTTACATGATTTGCATATCATTGCATTCTATTTTTATTTACATTCTGCACAGTGTCCCAACTACCTTAAATGAGGTTGTAACTGATAGATAAAATTGCTATTTTATTTTTTTTTTTTTCCAAATCTTTTTATTAGCTTTTGTAGAATCACAAACATATTACATTGTTGAAGTGATACAATGAAAAGTGTGCTTCTGCATCAACCCCTTACCCTTGGACCTTAATCCCCCCACCCCCCTATTAAGCTGCTCCTGGGAATCTGACAGAGATAAACCGAATATCAACCAGAACAAGAGTAGTCCAAATCAATATGTAAATAATAATACATGTAAATGATACATTATGATATGTACAAAACTATGAATAAAATTAGAGGGGGAGATAAAAAAAAATAATAATAAATAATAATAATAATAATAAAATTAATTAATAATAATATAAAAAAAAAACTCAATTCACATATTTAGGCATCGCTATCCCCAAGTATAACAGAGCTGTTGATAAAATCAAGCATAGGATCCCAGGTCCTGTGAAAGGATCTCAAGGAACACTTCAGGGAAAATCTTAGCTTTTCGAGCTTATTGCATAATAGGACATCCTGGATCCACCTATCATGCAATGGTGGAGAGGCCTGTTTCCATTTAAGAAGAGTGGCACATCTGGCCAGCAAGGTTGTGAAGGCAATAACACATTGTGAGGTTGCAGGCAGGCACAGATCGGGGGTGATGCCAAATAGGGCTGTTAAGGGATTAGGGTCTAAATTACAGTTGAGGACTTGATTGAGCGTATCAAATATATTAGACCAAAAGCTTGTAAGTTGGGGGCACGACCAGAACATATGTACGTGGTCAGCTGGAGATTGTTTACATCTCTCACAAGCATCACTTCGATTCGGAAATATCTTTGCCAGCCTTGCATTAGTAAAGTGGGCTTTGTGAAGCACCTTACATTGCAGTAGGCCATGTCTGGCACATATGGATGAGGAATGTACCCGGTCCAGGATGCGAGCCCGGTGGTCGTCTGAAATAGTAATTCCCAAATTCTCCTCCCAAGATTTTTTAAGAGTTTCAGTAGGTGCTACCTGTACAGTTTTAATTAAATTATAAATAACAGATATGAGTCGCTTCTGGGAGTGATCAAGAATAAGAAATTGGTCGATGTAGGTTTCAGGGGAGCAGTTGGGGAAGTGAGGGAATAGCTTTTGAACAAAATGTCGGGCCTGAAAAAATCGAAAGAGGTGACTATTGGGTAAGTTAAATTTAGTTGATAAGTCTGAAAAAGATGAAAAGACACCGTCCTTATAGAACTCGAAGACTGTAGTAAGCCGGTTATTTGACCAGAAGCGGAAAGCCGGGTCAGAGCAGGATGGAGGTAACAAGTGGTTTTTTAGGATGGGCATATGGATTGAGGCCCTATGAAAACCGAAATGTTTCCTAAATTGGAGCCAAATTTTAATAGTACTGTTAACAACTGGATTAGTAGAAGCTTTACTAGCAGATATGGGGAGCTGGGAGCAGAGTATAGCAAATAGAGAGCTACGGGAGGACGAGATCTCCATATGAGCCCAAGGTAGAAGACCATTTGGTGCTCTCCAGTAGGCCCAGTAAAGTAATTTAGAATGTTACAAGCCCAATAGTAGTGACGAAAATTAGGGAGCGCCAAGCCTCCTTCAGACCGTGAGAGCTGAAGAACTGACCTCTTGAGACGCGCGGGTTTGTTGTCCCATAGGAATATATTCAGCAGATGATCACGGTTAACAAAAAAGGATTGACTAATGACCACTGGGATATGTTGAAAAGTATATAAAAACCTAGGGAGTGTGATCATTTTAATCAAGCTGACACGGCCCGTAAGGGACAATGGAAGGGAGGCCCACCTGGTTACGTCTAATTGAAATTTGTCCAGCAGAGGCTGAAAGTTTTTGGAGAAAAGGTCATCAAATGAGTTGGTACAGAATTAAAAGGAAAGATCGAATGCGGAAGGGACTTTGCTAAAGAGTTAACAAGAAATAGCTCACTTTTTTGCAAATTCAATTTATAACCAGAGAGTTGGCTAAACTGGTCCAAAATTTCCAGTATTGGTGGAAGGGATGAAGTGGGGTTAGAAATGTAAAGAAGGAGATCATCTGCGTAGAGGGAAAGTTTATGGACTACATTGTAACGTGTAATGCCCTCAAATCTTTCCTACGAAGCCAAATTGCTAAAGGCTCCATCGCCAAGTCGAAAAGCAAGGGAGACAGCGGGCATCGCTGGCGTGTCCCGCAGTACAAAGGAAAAGGTGGTGAATCCGTGCTAGTTAGTATTGATGGAAGCGGTTGGGGCGGTGTATAAGAGACGGATCCAGCGAATAAAGTTAGAGTCAAAACCAAATTTGTCTAAAATGAAGAACAGATAACCCCACTCCACCCTATCGAAGGCTTTTTCAGCATCAAGGGGCACTACAATTTCAGGACAGTTAGAAGAAGGAGAGTAAAGAATATTAAGTAATCTCCTGGTGTTAAAGAATGAATGTCTGCCCTGTATTAAACCTGTTTGGTCGGGACCAATAAGGTCTGGCATAATCTGTTGAAGACGGCGAGATAAAACTTTGGCCAGAATTTTAAAGTCTACGTTTAAGAGCAATATTGGTCTATAACTACTGCAAAGGGTAGGGTCTTTATCCTTTTTAAGTAACAAAGAAATAGTCGCTGCAGATAAGGTTGGTGGAAGTCTGCCTTTATCAAATGAGTCATTGTATAACCTTGTCAAGATTGGGAGTAGCTGTGTAGAAAAAGCTTTATAAAATTCCACTGTGAAGCC